AGCAATAACTTTGAGTCATTAATGAAAATAATCAAATAAGATACCAGAAAATGGAAAGGTCTCCATGCTCTTGGATAGGTAGGATCAACATAGTAAAAATGGAAATCTTGCCAAAAGCAATCTACTGGTTCAATGCAATCCTCATAAAAATCCCAACAAAATTTTTCACAGATCTTGAAAGAACTATATTCAACTTTATATGGAAAAGCAGCTCAGGATAGCCACAACAACCCTGCTCAATAAAGGAATTTCTGGAGGCATCACCATCCTGACATCAAGCTCTATTATAGAGTCATAGTCCTGAAAACGGCTTGGTATCCACACAAAAATAGACAGGTAGACCAATGGAATCGAATTGAAAACCCTGATATTAAGCCACATACCTACAAAGACCTGATTTTTGAAAAAGAAGCTAAAGTTATACAATGAAAAAAAGAAAGCATCTTCAACAAATGGTGTTGGCATAACTGGATGCTGGCATGTAGAAGACTGCAGATAGATCCATGTCTATCGCCATGCACAAAACTTAAGTCCAAAATGAATCAAAGACCACAACATAAATCTAGTCACACAGAACCTCTTAGAAGAGAAAGTGGGAGGTAACCTTGAATGAATTGGTACAGGAGAATGCTTTCTGAACATAACACCAGTAGCACAGACATTGAGATCGACAATTAATAAATAGGACCTTCTGAAACTGAGAAGCTTCTGTAAGTCAAAGGACACAGTCAGCAAGACAAAATGGCAGCCGACAGAATGGGAAAAGATCTTCACCAATCCCACATCTGACAGAGGGCTGACTTCCAAAATATACAATGAATTGAAGAAGCTAGCCACCAAAATACCAAACAATCCAATTAAAAAGTGGGGTGCAGAACTAAGTAGAGAATTCTCTATAGAGGAATATAAAACGGCTGAGAGACACTTAAGAAAGTGCTTAACATCCTTAACCATCAGGGAAAACAACTCTGAGATACCATCTTACATGGGCCATAATGGCCAAAATCAAAAACATCAGTGAAGGTCTATGTTGGAGAGGATGTGGAGAAAAAGGAACACTCCTCCATTGCTGGGGGGAGTGAAAACTTGTACGACCACTCTGGAAATCAGCATGGCAGTTTCTCAGGAAAATGAGGATGAGTCTACCTCAAGATCCAGCAATTCCTCTCCTGGGCATATACCCAAAGAATGCACATTCATACAACAAGGATAAATTTTCAACTATGTTCACAGCATCATTGTTTGTAGTAACCAGAACCTGGAAGCAACCCAGACGCCCTTCAACTGAAGAATGGATAGAGAAAATGTGGTACATTTACACAATGGGGTACTACTCAGTGGAAAAAAAAAACCAATGGAATCTTGAAATTCACAGACAAATGGATGGAACTAGAAGAAACCATCCTGAGTGAGGTAACTCAGTGACAAAAAGACAAACATGGTACATACTCACTCATATATAGTTTTTAGGCATACAGAAAAGGATTACCAGCCTACAATCCATACCTCCAGAAGAGCTAGGAAACAAGGAGGACCCCAAGAGAAAAACTCATGGTCCCCCGAAGAAGGAAGGGGGACAAGAACCCCTGAGCAAATTGGGAGCACGGGGGGGGGGGATTAAGAGGGGGAGAGGAGGAATATGGGAAGGGGAGAAGGGGGGGGAGCAGGAAGACTGAGTCAGGGGAGAAATAGAAGAGGGCAAGAAAGGAGATGCCTTGATAAGGGGAGACAGTACAGGTTTGGAGAGAGGTCTGACAAAGAGGAAATGGTAGGGGATCCACAGGGATAACCCTAAGAATTTAGGCAATGGTGGAGAGGCTGCCTTTGATGCCCTTCCCCTATAATGAGATTGATGTCTACCTTGGTTACCATTCCTAGATCCGTGACCCAGTAGCTGATCGAAGCAGAAACAGGTACCCACAGCTGAGCACTGAGCCATAATCACAGAATTCAGTTGCGAAGAGGGAAGAGAGACGACCAAATGAACCAAGATGGAACTCTAGATACCCGGAGAAACAGTTGACCTGACTTAATGAGAGCACGCAGACCCTATTCGTAAAGTAGGCAGACCAGCATTGGACCAAACCAAGCCCTTTGAATGTGGGTACCAGCTAGGAGGCTAAGGCAGTCTATGGAACCAGTGGAGCCAGGGTTTATTCCTAGGTCACAAATGGACTTTGGGAGCTCCTTCCCTATGAAAGGGTACTATTACAGCCCAGATATGGAAAAGAGGGTCTAGTCCCTTCCGCCCCCCCCCCCAAAAAAGAGGGCTCTGATGTTAAACAATAAACGGGATCCTGTTTGACTCAACTCCCTGTCTGATCGTCTGCAGGCAGGCTTAGAGATTAAAACTTTGTACCTTGCTGGGCAGTGGTGGCACATGCCTTCAATCCTAGCACTCAGAGAAGCCTGTGAAAGGTAGCCTAAAGGGTTTTGTACACTTAGAAAGCAACTGAATAAAAAAGATTGCTGCTAGCTGGGCAGTGGTGGCGCACGCCTTTAATCCCAGCACTCGGGAGGCAGAGGCAGGCGGATCTCTGTGAGTTCAAGGCCGGGCTGGACCGAAAACCTCCAAAACAATACAGAGAAACCCTGTCTCGTAAAAACCAAAAAAAAAAAAAAAAAAAAGGTTGCTGCTAATTTCATCAACGGGGGGGGGAGGGGTGTAAGGGTGTCCAACCAGAGCTGGGGCCCAGCTTCACAGTGCCACCCACTGTGGTCCAGGCTTTAGAAGCACGGGACACTCGAGTGACGGGAGTGTGACTGCTTCCTCTGCAGTTTCAGATTGCTGCTGAGGTCAGGCAGCACATGGCAGGGCAAGGCCCTGAGACAAAAATGTGATTCATGCAGGATCTAGTTTCGGACTGTTAGGGGACACTCAAAGGTTTTCATTCATATATTAGGAGAGTGTCTCACATCCTTACAAAAGCCCATGTATTATAGTTTCTTCTATGATAACCTGCTGAACTTTATAAATAAGAAAACATTTATTTAAAATTCATATTTTTTAAATATTTAGATCAAGTCCTAATAATTTACTAACCTTAAGAATGCAGGGTACCTCTAACTAAAAGAAATTACATAACTCTGAATATCTCCTGTGGGTCAACCAATGTTTATTAAATGGTTAACTATTACTTAGTCTGGCACACCATTTTAATCATTTAAGATTAGCTTAAGGAAATTATTGGTTTATAATCAATCCACACAATAAAAACAATTGCATTTGGCATTGGCACCAGTCTGACTAACAACACTAACAAACATGTGTGATAAAATAGCTAGGCTTTCAAGTCAGGCATCATGGTGCATGTCTATAACACCAGCACCTGGGAGATGGAAGCAGTAGGATTAGTTGTTTATGGCCAGCCTCAGCAACATAGTGAGGTTGGACTATACTGACAGTTATTTTATTTTTAAAAATTAGCCAGTGGTGGTGCACACCTTTAATCCCAGCACTTGGGAGGCAGAGGCAGGTGGATCTCTGTGAGTTCGAGGCTGGGCTGGACCGACAGCCTCCAAAACAATACAGAGAAGCCCTGTCTCATAAAAACCAAAAAAAAAAAAAATTTAATAGTACATTTTAATCCTTTTCAGAAAACTCTGACTTTGTAAGAATATCAACAGAATTAACCCACTCTTAAGAACACTATCACAGTTAGAAACTCCAACACTAATGCTATTCTAATTTTCTAACTTGGAGCAAACTTAATTCCCATAGGAACTGGTTGAGTGTCTTTGGCTGAAACAGCATGATAATACATGTTAATTAGAAAAACTAAGCAAATGTACCTCGGAAATTTATAAGTGAAAAGATGGAAGATGTAGATCTATTACATTTGCCATTAGTAATACATAAATTTAAATGTGGTGTGAAACATCTCCATACAGTCTAAAGCAGTCTGAGCTTCATGTTGGCCTTGAACTCCTGATCTTGGGCCTCCTTCCTCTAGCCCTCAAGCACTATGTACTACCACCACATCTGTCTTAGGATAACTTTTTTTAAACAGCAACTTAACCATTCACTTAATATTTATTGATCAACTATTTTATTCATGGGTATTCAAATCCTGGTATATATGAGTCCAAGTGATTTTTCCACCCCCTGTCTAAGAGTCAATGCTGCAACCTAGATAAATTATATTGCCTCTGGCTTTAGAACATACAGAGAAAAACAAGAGTGCATTTGGTTGGGGAGATTAGTTTAAAGAAATTAGGAGCAGCAATTAATTGATTCACCTGTTTCTCAAAGGATCTAACAGATGGTAGGGAAACTATACTTACCAAGAACTTAATATAGGTAAACTCTAAATCTTAAAAGCAAGCCACAAAAAGCTACTTAAGCTGGTTATGATGCATACTAAAACACAAATGATATCCAAATTATAAAAGCAAGCAACCAAATATTCATCATTCAATTTAAGCAACAGTATCACCAACATGACTGGATACACCTGGTTGATCCTTCCCTAGCCCCCCCCGGCGTCCCCCATGAGGTAACCATTAAAATGAATTTTATGCTATGTTCCTGCGTTCTCCCATTAAAATCTTAGTACACAATTTATTTTTGCTTGCCCTTAAACTTTAAAGGCTGTGTGCAGTCTCCAACAAATTGGCTTCTTCATTCACTATATTTTTAAGATCCCATCGTATTGTCATTGGTTAGTTGTTCTTTTCCACTTATTTTAGATTCATTCAGGCCATTATGCCAATTACTCTTTTAGGAAAGAAATAAGTTTTCTTCCTTGTTCATTCTCAATATGTTATTTCCAGTTACACATTACTCAAATTTAGCCCACAGTTTATATAATGTTGGGAGTTTTGGGGGCGCTAAAGTAGGGCTGAAGAGTAGGGTGGGTTGAGAAAACCAAGCATCCTGACACTCAACAGAGACAAGTTTATAGAAACAGAAAAGTCAAGGTGACTGTGGGGCCACATAGTATACTCTTTTTGCTCACAGAGGGCCCCTCAAAGCAGCAACAGCCAGAAAAGATACCTACGGCATTTCGGCACTCTGGGAAGGGCCACGATTGCTGGGTAGAACCAACTGAAACACCGCAAACGCGGAAGCAAAAAAGCCCGCGCTGCAGGCACTGGATGCAGTGTCTCACATACCGCGGTCCGCTGGAAACAGCCCCCGCGCGACAAAGGGCCCGAGTGTGCGTGAGGAAAGGGGTGTGCATGGAATCCAGGGCCAGCGCCCCATCTAGCCTTTGCCGATCCTCTCTCACTATTCCAGACAAAGCAGCCTGGCAACAGAGGAGCGACAGTGCTGTGACAGTATTCTCCAGGTCACAGGTCCACGAATCTCTGATCGGACTGTTTGGGAGATGCTCTGCCTCTTACTTCCGGTGGCGGAGAGGAGCAGTTGCTATGGTAATCTGAAAAAAGGCGGAGGTCTGTCCGGCTGCGCTGTGAGATTCGCGAAACTACTAAAGAAAATTGGCTGCCCTTCTTGGTTGTGAGCTGAAATTAGGTAGCAACCCGCACTCTCTCGCGCTCTCTCGCTCGTTCTGTCCCTCACTGTGTTCCTGCCTCTCCCGCCTGCTACGTTTACTGTTGAGTCAGCCGGTGCATGCCCCTGAAACACCCCAGGATGCAGCATTGTGGCTAGAGGAATACAAAACGGAGAGAGTTTGTCTCCGATTAGCTTTGACTATTACATGGTGCAGCGACAGTGACTGGAAGGCTCACTGTTTTCTCTTGGCCCTTTAGACGCCTTAGGCGCTTGTTAACAGTTTATTTTTCCTGCTTATTGTGTGTCTGGATATTTATGGAGCCGTTTGCTACAGTGCGCTCTCCAGGCCCCTGTCTCAGTCTTGGGCTAGAGTTTTAAATAATAGGGAGTTTCCGAGCCCTAGGGGTGCAATTATACATTTATTTAAGCTTCAGTTTAGACTCTTTTCACAGGAAGGAAAGAATAGAATTCTGGAACATTTCTGTCCTGGGATTTCGTGTGAGAATAACCCTATTTGGAAAGAGCATTCGAAGAAGATCCTTAAAAATATGTTTTTAGATTGCTTGCTGTAAAGTGAGTGCTCGTTCTTTCTTATTGGAACAGTTTTCTTTCACATTTGTGAGATGGCATGTACGCATATGTGTTTAAAACTGATGTTTAATTATGGTGATGCCAATTTGCAGTAACCAGACTGTGACACCACATCCCTATGGGGTCCTTCTAAATCTGGTGTAATATGAAAGTGTCAGGCAGGCGGTCTGTGTATTATAAATAGGGTACTTCATCCATGATAAGCGATTATTATCTTTCTTTCCCAAGTGTAAAAGACCTACATAATTCAAGAAGGTGCCAGTGATTTAGGCCTCCTGAGTAAGAATCCAATGAGTCCTGAAGGGGACTCTACCTGTGTCATCTTATTGTTCAACTTGAACTATTCAATTTATTAGATTGGAATGTATTTTTAGAAGTCAACGCAGGATAAAGTAATGTTGGAAGCCATTAGAACACCAGAACAATTTAGTACCTCATAGTAGCCTTTGTTCAATAAACCTTCACCCATGTTAACAGAGGAAACTACTGAAAGCTCACAACTTACCATTAACTGGTAACATCTCTGTCCCTCAATTTCGTCATCTGCAAAATGGACAAAAAGCACCTGGTCAGTGCAGTAAAGGATGAAATAAGATGTATGGTTGTGTATTAATGTCTTATGAGCAGAGGTTCTGTATGGACCCCAAATATTAACTACTAATTAAGGAACTCAGTGGTAATAAATGAGAATTCAAATATTCAGTGATTTGGCATGTGCTGTATTATAGAAATGTTAATGAAATGATTTAGTTAATCCTGCTATGCAAGGTGGATGTCAACTACAGTTGATTTACATAAAATGCCTCATTGTTAGAGAATTTTACTCCATCTACAGTTTCTTTAGCATTTCTATGTCCTGTAGTATTCTGTATGCTTCACATTTGTGAACTGATGTAATCTTAACAACCTTTTGAAGTCTCACATGACCTCTTAGTTGGAGATAATGGGTGTATGGATTTTCTTTGTTCTGATTCTTTTGTAATATGCTACATCTTTGTTCTTTGGGATATTATATATTTGAGGAATTATATACACGTGTGTGTATATATATAATTAGAAATCAGTTGTTAAGGATTTATTCTATTTAACATGCGCTGGTAAGTTCATATAGATGCTATGACATTTATCTTTTTTATTCTATGTATAAAAACTTTAATAAACCAATGCCCCACCTCATGGTGGTACATTCGCATTTTAGGTGATTTACATCAACTAAAGTACATTTTTAAATTGTTTTCTGATAGAATGGCCAGCAATCCTGGAAGTGATACAGCTTTGGGTACTCAGAAGTCAATGCTTTCGGGGAGTCCCCGAACAAAGAAATTGCCACTAACTGAGCAGGAGATATTTTATATGAATTGTAGAGCCGCCTACTTAACTATCTTCAAAAGCAGCTTGGAAAACATTATTTCTAAGGATCAACTTTACCTAGGTAAATTTTTAAAAGTTGAATATTTGCCTTATTTGTTGAAAGTTAATAGACTGAAAAGTCTGAATTAGAATTACATCATTGAGTCACTCCAACTTCACAATGAAACAAGCAACAGGACTGTAAGAAACAATAGCTGATGTGTGTGTGTGTGTATATATGTATGTGTGTAGAGAGAGAGTGTGTGTGTGTAGATTGTGTATTCAAAGCTTCCATCAGTTACTACTTGCTTAAAAGTTGTTACTGTTGCTGTCTTTTAGTTGTCATGGTGTTGTTTTAGGTTTATAATAATAGAATCAAAACCCTTTTGCCATCTGTCTCACTAATCAAAGAATTTGCAAAACTGGGGTCAAATACCTGTAAAAGAAAAATATAGATAAATGAAATTTTAGAAGAGAATTAGGAGTCGGGAGGTTTTCATATTCTACCCATTATCATATTTTAAAATTCTTTTGGCTGCAGAAGTCCTCCACATCACTGGATATGATCATTCCCAGGGTGTCAACTGAGTTTCTTTGCCATCTTTTGAAGTAATTTCTTTAAACAAAAATTCCACTATATTTCTGTAGATGTCTTGGGGTTGTATGCATATAATCATTTTCAGAGAAAATTCATTTGGAAGAATGATGAAAATTGACAAGATTAAAGCATATTTACTATCTAAATAGAAGACATTAATTAAATAATTTAAGAATAAATGCACCTGATGGCAGCAATTTTCAAAATTATGTGTAACTTTGACTTACATAATTTTAAAATTAGTAAACTTTCATCTTGAATTTTAAGTACTTGTGTTTATTTGGCATATATTAAATAATACAGGCAATTAATACTCTACTTTGACACTGTTGGTAAAATAATAGGAGGGTTTTTTTTTTCTTTTGAAAATAGAATCCAGTGGCTGGGCATTGGTGGTGCATGCCTTTAATCCCAGCACTTGGGAGGTAGAGGCAGGTGGATCTCTGTGAGTTTGAAGCCTGTCTGATCTACAAAGTGAGTTCCAGGACTGTTACATGGAGAAACCCTGTCTTGAATCCCCTCCCCTGTAAAAAAAGAAAAAATAGAGACAGTGAATTTGCTAATTTGAAAAGTTTAACTACCTTCTGTGAATTTGCTAACTTGAAAAGTTTAACTACCTTCTGTGAATTTGCTAACTTGAAAAGTTTAACTACCTTCTTCTGGTATAATTCTTGAAATATCAATCAGTTAATATGTATTAATAAGGTGCTGTCAGTCCTATGAAGTTATCTGGCTAGAAAACAAAGCAGTTTTTGCATCTCCAGTGTTACACATGGTTTTGGTTTAAGGTGGAATAGCCTTTGCAGGACTGTTGGGCTAAAGATAGTTTTTAGAAAGCAATAAGTACATCAGTGACATCTGTTTCTTACTACCCATTTTCATGTGCATCTGCCCTTAGCACATAACATATGGTCTGACATTTCCATTCCAAGTTGACACAGCAGCATCACAGGTATTAGATATGTGGCCAAGCTTAAATATACAGGAAGCAAAAGATCAGTATATAGATATCAACCTTGAAACATCTGCAGTTAGGAAAGACTTCGCAGATGGAGAGGCATCTACTTCTAACTACATGTTTTGGCATAATTAGTTTTATTTTGAGACAGTTATCATTTAAAAATTAATAGTTATAAAGAAGCTGGTGATATAGCTTGATGTTAGAGCATTTACACAGGCCTAGAGTTCAATCCTCAGCAGCAGCAGCAGCAGGAGGAGGAGGAGGAGGAGGAGGAAGAGGAGGAGGAGGAGGAGGAGAAGAAGAAGAAGAAAAAGAAGAAGAGGAAGAAGAAGAAGAAGAAGAAGAAAAAGAAGAGGAAGAAGAAGAAGAAAAAGAAGAAGAAGAAAAAGAAGAAGAAGAAAAAGAAGAAGACGAGGAAGAAGAAGAGGAAGAAGAAGAAGACGACGACGACAACAACGCTGACGATGCTGCCACACCCAGAAGATCCTTAGGTGGTGAATATAGCAGTTAGGCATGAAAGCACACATTTATCATCCCAGAACTCAGGAATGCAGGAGGATTATCTTAAGTTGGAGGTCAGCTTGGGCCATAGTGAAGACTGTCCAAAGTGAGGGTGGAGAGGGGGAGGACACACTAAAATTTTCTTTGTTTTTGAAGATAGTTGTGTTTGCTGAGCTGCTATTTCTAAGAGTTGTAAGATGGTTTTTCTAAATATTTACCAAAACATTTTTCTTCCCCAATAGATTTTTAGCCTCCAAACTACAACTTCATTTAAGTTCTATTTTATTCTCCCATTGTAGTCAGTGGAGTTTGTACAGTATTCTTCCTGCCAGCCTGGTCCCAGAGCTGCATCCATTCCTAATGAACACGCAGGATGCTATATTAATTATTAAGCTGCTGGCCATTTGCTATGGTTTCTTAATAGCTAGCTCTGATTTAATTATTAACCCATAATTACTAATATATATTTTTATAAGGTCTTATCTTACCAAGAACACCAGACTTGTGTCCTCTCCTCCCGGGATCACATGGTGACTCTCTACTCTTGACTACATTTCCCAGAATCCTCCTCGGCTCCTAGACCCACCTATCTTGTTTCCCTATTGGCCAACAGTGCTTTATTTATCAACCAATAGGACAACATATACACAGAAGGACTTCTCCCATCAGGAGTTGATTA